GAAAATTCACAAACCGAATGTCCCACTTCGGCCGATTGTTGCCCTCAAAGGCAGCCCTACTTATCATTTGGCAAAGTGGATGTATAGAAAGTGAAATTCCTCCAAGGCGACTCAACTACCTCAGTTCAATCGGCCTCTCAATTCCTTGAGGACCTTCGAGGTCAGACGATTCAATCGGACGAAATCATGGTCTCTTTTGATGTGACTTCCTTATTCACATCCATACCCTCAAATCTGGCGCACGAAGTCTTGCGCAAGAGACTTGAAGAGGCATACGATGAGGTTCGATGCCCAATCAAAATTGAACACCTTACGAGGTTATTCGAATTTTCCCAAAAAGCATAATTTACCTTTACCGGAGAAACCTACGAACAGATCAAAGGTACTCCGATAGGCTCCCCAATCTCCGGTTTAGTGGCAGAACTGGTCCTGCAAGAGCTAGAAAACACCACATTCACCCAACAAAAGCCTGTCTTTTGGCGTCGCTACGTTGACGACACGTTTGTTATCATTAAGAAGAGCATGCTGTAAGACTTTCATAACCTGCTCAATGGAATCTTCCCTGAAATATAATTCACGAGGGAAGAAGAAAAAGAGCAGCAGCTGCCTATCCTTGAGGTACTCGTCAAGAGAACTCCTAACAGTGAAATCGAGACGACGGTTTACAGGAAGGCAACGAACACAACACAATTTTTCAGTTTTCACAGCAACCATCCAGTTGCTCACAAACGGAGCTGTGTAAAAACGCTCTTTAGACGGATTCAGACTCACTGCAGTAGGCTGGAGGAAAAGGTACGCGAGGCTTGCTACCTCCGCGACCAATTTATGTGGAACGGTTATCCAAGAACATCTATAAACCAACGCCTACGCGTCAGGCCCCGGAGGACCCAAACGGAAGAACCACCGACGATATAACACTCTCTGCCATGCATCAAGGACGTCTCAGAAGCGACTGAGCACATCGCTGCGGGACTAGGTGTTGGAATTGCACAGAGACCCAAAGCTACCATTCGCAGCAAGGTGATGAAAAGAACGGCTCGTGCCGAATAAACAATCTGGGGTAGTGTATCGCATCTCATGCCTAAGTTGTCCTTGTAACTACATAATCCAAACTAAACGCATGCTCGGATCGCACATTCCAGTTGGCTGTTCGTACGAGGCGACGAAGTATCACAAGTTGCAGATCACACCGATGAAACAGGCCATGAGTTCAACTTCGCGGCTGTCAAGGTACTCGCCCATGCCGAAAACAAGACGAGCAGGGAATTGATTGAGGCCTGGTCCACGGACGTGAATTCAGTCAACCGGTGTCGAATCGGCGCCGGCGTACAGAGCCTTGCGCAATTACGTACAGTCACAGCCAGACGTCCGTCACAGTTAATTGGGCCCACGTGCTCTATAATCGCCCCATTTTCGTTGCTGACGCCCTGACGAACGTTGAAATCACTGACGGTTAATTGCCCCCCCCCTTTTCATTGCGGTTTCTTACCCCTCACGACCTGATGACCCTTGACAGTTGATTGGTGAACAAACAATGTAACTAGTCCCTCGTTTGCTATTGTTTCTTATCTCTGACGATGGAGTCCTGTAAGAGTTCGAAGGCTCCGGACAAAAAAAAACAAGTTGATCCGGTGCTCGACCATCCTTCTCCTTACCCATGCAAATACCTGGAACACGAACGTTCTCCTTCGTTCATGGGTCTTTTAGTTGTTCGACGGTGAGGAACATACTTTATAAGTGAGTCCGATACTGGATTATCTATTACTACTGATGGTCAATTTGCATTATTCGTTAACTAAAACGCGATCGGACATTTTTGTGAGCGTTGATCACGGGGGGGG